CCCTTCCAACTCAAGATATTTCTGTGAAAAAGTCGTCTTCTACATAATTAAAGACAAAAGGCAATGTTTTGAGAACTCTACCATGGTGCATGGGTGTGAAGAAAAGGTGCAGAAAAATGAGTAGTAGTTCACTAGCAAAAGAGAATGTGATTTCTGTGGAGGACAAAATATTTGGTTAAAATTATTGCAACATTCTACATTCCTACTTCAGTGTTGCATTCTCATATATGGCACTAAGGACAAAGAAACAGAAACATGTTGCCCTTTAACTGTACCTTTGATTCACTTTCACTGAAATTCACATTTTCTCTGTGGTAACCAATCAAATATTAGAAGATACATTCTCTTCACTATCATCTTCTGCACAGAGCCTTAGGGTAGCTTTTCTTTTGAAAAATGTAATGCAGAGACAGACTGCTCTCTTTGGGGCATTTTTGCTATAGAAACTATGGAATTTTTTTATGTCTTTCCCAGGAAATAGTTTGCATTATTTTAGAAAACTCATTTAATGGCAATATTTAACAAAATCAAATGCAGACTTTCTAGTTCATCAAAACCAGAACAAAACTGATTAGATTGTTGGAATATGACATATCACGTCCATATCACTTTTTTCTCTGTAAATATTATGCTGAACTATTCAGGATATAAGGTAACAGGGCAGATGATAAGTGGATCTGATTGCATTGTAATGGGGGAAAACCCCACACATTCTGATTATACCTGCCTTCAAATGTTAATTTTTGTTAATTTTTGTTTGTTTATTTAATTAATGCATGTGTGTGTTTTGCTTTGTTTTTCTGTTTTTCATCTCCATCCTTGTAGCCTTTTTATTTGGAGCTAAGGAGAAACTGTGTGACCTCTTAGCACAAGCCAGCGTTCCACCTTCTGTGCTCATACCTGCTGTTTGTGCTGTTGATCAAAACCAAAAGGAGGCCCTTTGTTGACAAATTTCAGTTTTTTGTCACGAGCCCTGTGACATTTCTTGTTTCTACTTCATAGTGTGGAGAGGGAGCTCTGTGGGCCTGGGTCCTATTGATGTGTCAGGGTTGGCTGTGGAGCTGTGCAGGAAAAGTGTTGCCCTGTGATGTACCTGAGCCTCACAAATTCCAGCCTCTGACCTGTGGAACAGGGTGAGTCCTTTTCCACCACAGGGCAATGCTGGAACTGCTCCAGGAGCAGCTGCTGAGAGGTAGAACAGAGCCTAAGGCTTTTCAAAACCTGGGAACTCCTCCCTTATTACTGTGCCTGAGGTTCCCAACCTTATTCCTGCCTGCAGGGCGTGAGCTGAAGTCTCTCAAGGAGAGGTGGCTGCCCAGAAGCACAAACTGCACTGTTTGTGCAGTTGCCTGCACCTTAAGTGTTTTTAATTTGGGCTCCTTGCTCATCTCCACCTAACGGAGAAATATCTTTAATAATAGAGCTATATGAATAGAGGAATGAAGAATGGCATTGACATAAAAATGAACAACATAACATAAAGGCAGGTTTTTCCATCCCTCTAAGTAATTTGCTTTAGTGACAATTTATAGCAGTACAGGTTTCTGCTGTATTACAAAAAGCATTAGTATGAGAGTCAGCACACTGAATATTTGTGAAATAACAACATCTTCAAGGGTGTACCATTATACTCTAAATGCTAGTATTATTTTAAAAGAAACCATATTGCTTTTAACATTTTCATTATGCATAGAAGTCATAATGAGACACAATGCTGTGTTTGCTAATATGTCTCATTTGTATTTTCACAGAGGAGAATTTTAAATATTTATAGCAACAAGTGCTTATGTTCAGGAATTTTGCTTTGACAATGCAAATCCCTTAAACAAAGTTGAAAAACACTTTAATTCCAAGCCTAGGAGTAAAATGCCATTATCTGCTAGCCTTAGATTTTTTGGTACCTCGCATTAATCTACAAAATTATATCTGTTTTCACCCTCCTGTCTTGTTTCTCTGATCCCCATCTAAAAAACACCTGACCCAACAGAGCACCTCACCAGCATGGCAATGAAATTATTTGTGTCCATTGATGGAAAATGCCTGAAAGCTCAAACTGTCCAAAACTGTGCTGAGTATCAGATTTGTAATCCCACTCTGCTGACAATTTAACTATTGCTTCTGAAAAGGCGCTTGCAGCACAGTAGAAGGAAAAGGCCTCATGACAACCTGCACAATCCTACATTATTTAGTACCTATCTGTGTAGCACAGCTTTGGCTGGCAGGGAGAGTTAGGGCTGAGAAAGGGAGATGTGTGCTGCTGCTTTGAGAAATGCAAATAAGATTAAAGTTGCCAGTGCCTGCTGAGAGGTAAATTTCTTTTCCAGAAGCTGAACACACCTTTTTTTCTGAAACAGCATCTTTGTTGGTGGGAGCTGCTAGCCTGAATCCATCTGCCACACTTAAACACTGGACCTGGTAAATAATCTCTGCACACTGAGTGCAGCTATGACAATATATGTAATGTCTTCTGGTTATACATGTCTAATCTTCCTTTGGCAGTGAACCTGTGGAACTCAGCCTGAGTTTCATTTATATACTTGTTTTGCTAAGTGCAGATGAGGGCAAAGAGGGGAGGCACAAGGGGGAATTCAGGGAGTAAACAAACTGTACCAAACAGCTGGGGTGATTAGGCTGTGAATCCAGACAAAAGATGTCATCTGCTCCAGCTCACCTGATGCACAATTGCTGCTCCTGCACTGCTGGCAGGATTCATGGATCAAGTATTGGACATATCTATACAGTCCAGGTGGGATAAATGTTTGAATTGATAGAACTATTGCAACTATTGCAGAAATTATCTATTTGATTGTGTGATTTCAGATCTAAAATTTACTATGGATATTCATGGCCATATTCTAGTATGCTTTGAAAATGGTTAATGTTGAAAGCTACTTGGTCTTAGCTAGATCAGAAAATTCTTGGCCAGAGGACATAATGTAATTATTCTCTGGTAAATGCAAGTTTTCCTGGTTTGGTTTTTAATTTAGTGTGTATCTTTCTTTTCACTGAAGAACAGCATGTTTTCAAGCAATCTAAGAGATTACCACTTTCCTAAAATACATCACGCTGAAACTGTTAAATGTGTAATAAATAGGCTTGGTTTGATGACATTTAAAGGAAGATAGATAGCATTTCTCTTTTCAGGCTTTTTGGGGAAAGAGGGTTTGTAATGATCTCCCAAGATGCTTGTTTGAGGAAAGTTTCTATTTAAAAGTCAGACATGCCAAGAATTTTTACATAATCCAAGCTGATTTACAAATACCTCAATTATCAATCAACACAATGAGAATCTATGTTCTGCCGCCTGTCAAATAGCTGGCCTTTACTGCAGAAGCAGTTATTGAAGGAATGGAGAAAAAATAACTAATGGCTGTTATAAATATTCTCCACTGGTAACACTTTTTTTTTTTTTTTTTTTTTTATGGGCTCTCGGGAAAACTAATGAACAGTGAAACTTCAGTTACTTCCATCCTAGTGGTGTCAAATATCAAGATCAGGGTTTACCACTTCTCCTGCCAGAGTCTGTCTATGAATCCATGGAAAACCCTTTTTCCCTGTGTCCAACTGTATGTCCAGAGTTGTTGTGCAGCCCTGGCTGGCAGTGCTCAGGCTGTCCATAGTTGGATATCCTCCCTCACATGGCCAGGTGCAGATCTCTCTCTCTGCTTGTTCTTCAGCTCACAGTGCGGTCCTTGGCTTTCCTGACACACCACAACCTGTTAGCACTGACAGACAAACTCCCTCCTCTTTGGCAGAGTCTGAGACCCTGGACCTCCTCAAAGGGCCACGTTCAAGGTAGCCCAAAAAAGTCACCAGGCCATTAGGTTTTGAGCAACCAGAGCAACCCAGTATTAGTCTGGAGTCTGCTTCCCCCCTCCTGCTGTCCTCGGGAGGATGGGATTTCAGCTGCTCCTCCTGCAGCCTGCCTTGGTGTGGAGCTGTGGCTTCCCTTATGCTTCAGCTTGGGGTGAATCCTCTGCTGAGCCTTTCAAAGATGCAGAGTGTTCCAGAGAAAGCTCACTTTGTACCTAAGGGCATGAAAATGTTGCCATTAACGCCTGTCTGTGTTCCAAATATTTATAAAAGAGTAGATTTAAGATGTGCTAACAGCTTCTGAGAATTACTGGAATTGCTCACGCTGATCAAAACCACTTCCTACGGTACATGTTGTGCTTCGTCTCTAACTTCCCACACTCAGTGAGTGTTCCTGACCAGGTCAGCAATGTCACTGACCCGAACCAGATGATTTTTTATTCTTCTCAGAGTGACTGAGACATTCCCACAGGATACACTTTCCCTCTTCTGAGAATTTCTGTGCATTTATACGAGGAATACTTGTCCAACAGACAGCAGCCCTGCAAGCTTGTGCATCAGACCACTGAAAGGAACGGGTTAATATTGTGAGCCCACAAGGTCCCCGCGTCCCCAGGGAAGTCAAACTCGCGCGACAACCCTGAAGAGCTGCAGAACAAGCATCATTCCCTCTTGGCATCCAAAAAAAAGGAACCTCCCCTTAAGGGAGATAGCTGTGCGTGAGCCGAGACCCGCTGTGCGACCCCCCGGCTGCCTCCCTCGGGCTCTGTGGACACCCAAAGGCCGCCGGAGGAGGCAGCGGGTCCCGCCGCTCCCTGCCCGGGATGTCGCTCCAGCCCCGCGCGCATCTCCCGCAAGGTGGAGCAAGAAGCCAGGATTAGACTTTCCCGATTCCCCCGGGGTTTGGTGCTTTTTGGGTGCTCCTTTTCTTGATTTTCTTTTATTTTATTGATGGTGTCGTCGTCGTGTCGTGTGTCACTCACTCCCCCCACCCGCTACCCCCCACCGCCGCCCTTAATTTTGACTTTTTCTCAAGCCGGGGGTTCAGGGCGATGCTGAGGCGAAAGGAGAGGCCGGGATTTACTTCTTTAGCCGCCCCCGAGAGCGGGTGATGCTCTCTGCAGTTTGCAGCCTGTCAGCGATAGAGGGTGGCGGGAGGGGGAGGAGGTAGGGAACACAATGAGCTGCATAAATCCTGCGTGCGCACCGATTACAGCAGGAAAAGAAAATTTAAAAATTTAAAAAGGTAGGTCACTCTTTTTGCATTAGGGGGGAAAAGAGAGGTTGGAGAATCTATTCCTATACACAGAAGCATAAAATTCACATTAACATCTCATTAAGTCTTGATGCACTTAGGGACTGATCCAAAGACCATCAAACTCAATGGGAGACTTTCCATTGCCTTCAAATGGGATTTGGATCATGCTGTTAGAGATTGACAAAAGCCCATATTAACAAAACAAAACAAAAAAAATTCTGACATTACCTAAAAGGCTATAAAAGCATTTCCATTCCTTTTTCTGGGAAATCCCTTTTACAGCTGCTCAAATGTAATCACAGCAGCCACCTTCCTGGTGAAGCTTCCAGTTAGAATAACATCAACATGGCTCAGGGACGATGCAAATGATGCCACTATTTCACCAAAACTGAAATGGAACTTTCTTTTTTGATCATAACAAATTATCCATAATAGAAGAGGTAAACCTGCAGTGTTCAGAGGTTAATTTAAGTGCTATGTAAATACCATTTTAAAAGGGGGAGAGATAAAAACAACTGAAATCTAGATCAGGAAAACCATATGCTGGTCATGATAATGCTTTACACAGGGCTGGTGCCCTAATGTGAACTAAAATAACTGAAATGAACAGAAAAAGTACTAAAGTAGACTTTATATGATCAGAACCAAACCAGTTTGTTGTGCATAGTGCATTTAGAGAACTCAGTACATGATATCATCAGTAATGACTGTTTTCATGTGTGGAGATAAATAGTAGTACATTAAAAAAAAATTAAATTAGCTGCCTTGGGCAGCTTCAAGTTCCTTGAGCTTCTCTTACTCTTTTAAAATGCTGCTTCTAGCAGAGACAGTCTGGAGCTCCAGCTCTGATTAGTTTTTTTGTTCAGATGGCCTTAGCTGTGACTGTGTTACTTGGCTGATGACAGAGGTGGGCTGAAAATTTCTTGTACAGGTTTCAAAAGAAAAAAAGGCATGAAATAACAAATGTCTAAAAACTTTTGTCCGAAGTATTTAAAAGTTGAAACTGACATGTCAAATTGGATGGGTAGAATGCTATAGAAGATTTGGAAGACTTTCTTAGTTTTACTTCCACTGTGATGTTTTAAATCTTCTTCTCCTCTTTGTTATCTCCTTTGCTTGTTTCTCTGTTGAACATCACCTTCCTGTTGCCTGGACCAAACAGTGGGGAGAGAGCTACATCCTCAGGTATCTCCATGTCTGGCAAACAACCTTCTTGTTCCTCATGTCTCTTAGAACCTAAACTAAATACTTCAGTTTTAGCCATCTCTGAAGTTGCAACTCTTAAAATATTGCCAAAAACTAAATTTCACAAGAGAAGGAAGGAAGTTGTAGGTATTGCCTAAAATTTTAAAAATGTGTCTAATTACTACATGCAACAGTTATGGCAGATCCTAATGTTAACATTGAAGTTAGGTGGCAAATGAGAAAGGAATTCCCCTAAAGAGTCATGTAGCTGCACTGATTTAATTTTCATTTTTATTCTCCTATCCCACTCTAACATCCATTTCCATTTTCCTCATTTTCTTCTTCAAAGTATATATAACCTTACCATCTTCTCCCTCTTCAACTTTGATTTTTTACCTTCATACAGAATGAAATAGTCTTGTAACAATAAAATATATATTGAAACACACATTAAAATACTATTCAGTGCATATTAAAAAACAATGCACTGGTTTGAGTATCATTTCGTGCTACCAGAGATCAGAAATCTGGCCCTTGGTAAGTACTTTGGAATAACTGCCAGGAGCTATTAATCTTGTACAATGTCCCCATACATTCTAACAGAAAAGTGATGCCAGGGAAAAAGCTTGAACTGGCATCTGTGTCTGGGATTGTATTTTCACCTGTCAGTCTTTTCTGATTGCATATTATCTCAGCTTTCTTAATCTTATTTCACTCCTCCTTCAGTCAAAGGGGGTGTGCCATCAATTGCAGCAAGAGCAAAGTGTTTTGCAAATGTTTCTTCCTTTTACTTCCTTCCTCCCCTGCTGAAAGTCAGTAAACAAAGTGAAGGAACTAACAGAAGCACTATTTCTTTGCTTATGGATAAACCATCGATTTTGGTATTGTAGCCCTGCAATTGTGTCAGCCCTGGAAAACAAAGCAGGGAGCATCTGAAGTGTCAGGCACCTCTTTGAAGCACAGCTTCCACTTCCACGCAGTGTTCTCACTGCAGCTGCTGAAGCACTGGGAGCTCCCGGCTGCTAGCCCAGCACCAAACCCCTGCCAAAACCACTGCCTGCACTCCCAGCCCTGCCTGGCCCTGGCTGGGGGGAAGCAGAGCTGGAAGCTGCAACATCCACAGAGGATAAGCAGACATGCTTTTTATTTGTCATCACCCAAGGAGGCCCAGTGTTTAAGTGGAGATTTCTGTGGAGAACACTTGAGGATTTAGGTGTTGAGTGCCCGTGTGGAAGCTGAAATCCTTTTGTGAATCTGGGCATTGGTTAGAAGCTAGCTAAAGTTTATACTGTGTTTTTAAACCATGGCTTTATTTTCCATTAGTCTGTGAGGAGCTTACCTTTACTTTCAAAATTCCAGGATGAATTGTTTAGAGATATCAAGCTTTTCTCTAGATTTTTAGGTCCCTGACAGACAGCTACTTTAAGAAGAAAAATGAATGAAAATGCTACAGCATCCAAATTCATTCTCTTAAAATAATAGGACATTTCTGTTGGTGGTAGGTAAATCAGAAAACTGGTCATTTAACTGCATGCCCAGTCTTTTAATCTACAAATTGAATGATTTGCAAGGAAAACCCAAACCAAAAAAGCCCACAACATTTTAAATGCTGCTCTTTCTCTCTTCTGTGGACATCCAAGCACATGATGGGCTTTCACAACAGTGGTAATATTAAATGAGAAATTAATTACTTAGCTAGGGTGATGATGACATGTTCTCCATGGCTGTGGCCATTTTCTCTCAAAACACAATGAACATGCAAATGAAGCCCTGATAATGCCAGCTGTTGTCTTTACTTAATGTGAAGCACTATTAGTGAGTCACCCAAGCCTCTTGTAATTATGTTCAGTTTCTGCTTGTGCTGGCAAACATACAGGGTTTCCAAATAACAGTGTCTAAATTTCACACCTTGAGAGGTAAATCTATGCCTTAAATAGCTAAGTAGTAAGTATTGCTTGCTTCAATTAATGTTTTACAGTTCTACCCTGCCTATGGATGCTAGATAATGGATACTTAACCAGATCCTCAAATACTTTACTGGGAGAGATAAATACCATTATTATCCAGAGCAGTGTAGAAAGGAGAGGTGATCTTTCTAAATCCATTCATTGAGACAATATAGCTTGAGAGGCCTGATAATTCAGTTATAAACACACAAAGGCAGACTGGCCAACATCCAGAGATTTTTTTCTTTTAAAGCTACTTAAAAAAAAATATTATGATGGCTTAACAATATTTTTTTTCTACTTGACTAATAGTTTCTGAGCATTATGAATATTCATTATTATTTGACTTGAAGACCTAGAAATTCCCACTCTTTTAAATTTCAGCTGATAATCATGCAGTTTGACAAACCAATTCTCAAATCTGTAGATAGATCAGGAACATTACAAAACGTTGGAAATAGCTATTATACTTGTATAGGCTTTGAGTCTTTTTTCCCATAAAAACCAGCAAATTAAATTCTGTAGTGATCAATGAATTAAACCTAATAAGCTGCCTTCAGATTTAATGCATGTGAAATTTTTAGTCTTAGCTGACGAAGATAGGAGGTAGGGTGAGTGGGTGCAAAGTGCTGTGGGCTGCTAAGAAATTCTTAGTGTCATGATGAAAACCCTACTGCTTTAGCAGTGGGTCAAATAACTGTATCACATATGACTCAACAGCACTTAAAACCACTCAAATAATAATAAAGTGTTTTTTTTTTTCAATTTTCATTAACATATATTGATATAATTTCCTATATCAATATTTATTTTGACATATGAAACATATAATCCCATTAATTCATCAATATATATTTTATTAATTTGAAAAATAATGCAAATTACTTACAGATGCTTACATGCAGGCCCAAACACAGCTTTTCCTCAGACTGATTTAGCTGTTTATAGGTAGTTTATTGGGCAAATGGTTTTCCTGTGCTTTCAAGTGTGCCTGTTAATGTGAATAAGTGTGTTGAATATATCACTTTATTGTGTGGTTTTTGTAGAGGGGGACTGAAAACCCACCCACTCCTTTATATTGCCAGACTTTAGTGCTTTTCAAAAATACAAAGTGTTTTCAAACACAGGGATTAATAGGAAGGCATGGATGAAACTAATGTTTCAAACGAGTTTGTTATCATGTAATTATAGGATCACTTGGGTTAGAAGGTGCCTTAAAGACCACCTCATTCCAGCCCCACTGCTGTGGACAGGGACATCTTCCACTAAACCAGGTTACTCAAATCCCCATCCAACCTGGCCTTGAACACTTCCATGGGTGGGGCAGCCACAGATTCTCTGTTCTTGTGCCTCACCACCCTCACAGTGGAGAATTTCTTCCTAATATTTAATCTAAACACGCTCTCCTTTAGTTTAAAACCATTACCCCCTGTCCTGTATGATGATATTATTCATTATTATATAATAAGACTGTTCATTTTGACTTGGGTAATTTCACTTAATTCCATGAGCATCCTTCAAGTAATGAGGAGCTGCTCTTGACAGAGGCAAAGTATCTTGGGGAGCAAAATGATTAATGACCCTTCTCTGCAGTTCTCTTTCAAGAGAGTACTGAGAGGTCCCGTTCAGTGGTTTCAGACAAGGCACCAGGGTAACACTGGAGCAGGGATGGGTGGGCATTAATCCCCCCATATGAGTGGTTGCATATCCTACCCCTCCCACTATCAACCAGAGGAACGAGCATCACCTTTCATTAATTTTAGTTCCTTTTTTTCTCTAATGAGATGAGGAGGGATGAGCATCACCTTTCATTAATTTTAGTTCCTTTTTTTCTCTAATGAGATGAGGAGCTTTTGCTTCTATCTTTGTGTCTGCCCTTCAAGAGCACAATGCAAGTGCTGGAAAGCCTCAAGGCAGGTCTGAGGTGCTCAGTGCCCGCTTGGTTCTGCTTGCTCCAGTGAGCTGAAGGTACAGCTTCTCTGAAGTGGAACACTGGCCTTTCTCCAACAGCCTTAGTCAATAAATAGGTGAGAATCCTTGAAGAGAGGATATGTAATTTTAAAACCTCAGCCAGTTGCATAGTTTGTGTTCGTGCTCAAGAAGGCATCGGATGAGCTGACTTGAAGTATGAAGGCCTAAAACAGGTTGGGAGAGGTGGGAAAAAGAAAATTCTTTATTTAGAATCTTTACAAGATTCTGTTGAGAATCTCTACAGTCTCTTCATCTGTAAACTAAATATGGCAAATTTGACATCTCTAATAAAAATAATGTAATGATTAGATCAGATAATCAGATCTAGGTTGTTGCCAGGGAAATATCCTGGTACAAATGTATCTGGGCAGTCCATTGCCAGCATAACTATGTGTGCATGTACTTTTAGGTTCTACCATTCCCCGTGCCAAAATGTGTCCTTGCTCTGACACATAACTGATTTCCTTTAAATGCAAGGATTCCAATTAGCATTAATTGCTGCTGTTGCCATGCTGACACCATGTAACACCATGGTGGGAGGAGAGCATGTTAGTCACAATTGTTCTGTGGACAGGAAAGCTGAAGCCTAGGACAGATTGTTAATGGAAAAAGAGCTAGGCACACTTTTTCTGTTGACTTCCCTTTGGATTTTCTCTTGTTTGATTGTTTTGTTCTGCATGGCAGAAGAGAAAGGTCACCAACACTGCTGTTAAGAATAAATTATCTTCACTATTTATTCAAATATTCTAAAATATATGTTGATTTAATAAGAGGACATATGAGGGACAATGTGAGCACCTTTTTCATTAGAAAAAAAGCTGATACTATTTATGACAAGTACATGAACTAAACTATTTTCACAGCAAAGGAGAATTTCTTCTTAGTCTGTATTTTAATGGAGGCCAAACTGGGTGGTTCTGCTCTAAGAAAGTGACTAAGGTGTTAATATGCCTATGGTAGAGAACTGAGGAATATTTATCCATGAATTTTTGGCCTTAATTGAATTGAATGCTTGCAAATAGATGAGTGAAACAACAGAATAAAGGAAACTCAAGATCTCTTAGAAATGCCAAATAATGTAAA